CTATCGGAGAGCCTTATCACCAAGGCTCAACAATATTGCGCTGTGGGATTTCTCTATCATGGCTGTCTTTTCTTTTTCCGTTAATGCAACGTCCATGACTGCCTCTCCCTTCAATGCTTCCAAACAATCTTGCTGAACCAGTAGAGCTTTCATCTTCAAGCGCCATAGATCAAAGTTGTTCACTCTGGTGAACTTTTCAATCTCATACTTTGTTGAAGGCATCTTCTCCACGCTCACCGAACCAATTTGTTATGAACTAATGCCTTAGAAATAAAGTATAAACAATTTCTTTATGATCAAGAAACACACAAGGGTTAGGGTTAATGGAAAAACAAGAAGAACAACAAGGATTTGTTATAACTGATATTCTTTACTTTCTCTTTGAATCAGATTACAAGTACTCAAGAATAACAAATAACCCTCTCACCCTAATTAGGATTTGCCACACTTAAGATGAGAGACTAGTATGCTATTTATAATAAACCTAACATACTAAATGAATGGGCTTTTTAACAATTATCCATTATAAGCTAATTTAGAGTACAAACTAACTTAAACAATTGAATCATTAACACAAGACCTAATTCGACAACTACATATTATAACACATTTCGACTGCAGCATGTAGGTCTTCGACAACAACACGTGAGCAGACTTCGGCGACATGTTAACTTAGAGTTCGATCCAATATCTCACACGTTGTTTAGAACTCTTTTGTTAAGGGTTCTTTGTTGGGGTTCTGTATGTGTTCTTTAAACAAGTGAACTAAATGTTACAAGTTAAAGATATATATATATATATATATATATATATATATATATATATATATATATATATATATATATATATATATATATATATATATATATATATATATATATATCAGAGAAACATATTCACCTCAGTTGAGAAGAAAACCGAGGTGAAAAGTGGCTCATTTTTACACTCCAAAATAAAATATTTAAGAAGGCGTCACTTTTAATGTGATAAGAATATAAACTGAACCTGTTGTAATTCGAAGCATGTACACTGAATAAATTTACCTCTCGATTTTTCAAATAACCAACAAAATATTTCGTATATTTTTTTATAAAAAAAGACAAGGCGCGTCTATGAGTTATACTTAAATTTTTCGACACGTGAGGTGAAATCATTGTTATAAAATGTATTATTTATAATAGTGAAAATACTGACAATTTTTATTAAGTCCTTAGGCGTGAAAGTTTTTCAAGACTTCGTGTTTAAGTTGGGTGTTCATAATCTTCACCCTCCAACATGAAGGAGGAGTATTAAAAATAAATTTAATAATTTGTTATTAATTTGTCAATATTAGAGATAATTTAATTATTTGTTATTAATTTATTAATGTTTGTTAGAGTTGATTATATTTTCAAGTTCTAAATAATAGATCATCAACATACATATAAAGTACATCATACCTCACAAAAAATAATAAAAATAAACATATTTTTCAAGTTAACTTTTATTAGTTATATATAACATCAAAGAAGCTCATACTATAATTTTTACTGCATCATCAAATAATGGGAAAGACCTCTTAAAATAGGAACTTAATCTGTTTGCATATATTCTTCTTTCATTTACAAGTGTAATATGCCTATAAAGCTAAATTCTCATTTTCAATAAAGATGAACAAATCATTCTCTCAATTTAGTTACGCTCATTTTTAATTTTATTCATTGTGTGTGGCTAAGATTCTCGTCAAATGAATGCTTCATTTATTCAATTCGATACCATCATTCACAAGTTGCAAAATATTTATTTGATTATCGTATTGCATTTTACTTCCTTCATGACTAAAAGGAGTGAACAAGTACAATTATATATGTAAGAGACTTAATAAAATATTCAAAGGACCGTGGCGGGCACGCGTTCATGAATTTTATATTCATCAAGGATGATTTTAATAATCATACATTCTACATATTTTTCTAAAACCAAATAGAAATTTACAAATAAACAAATAAAACAATTCATTGAAATGTGCAAACCGCGTCTTCAGTCATCATTCAACAAATATTTATAGTTTTCAGTTTGACTTCTTGTGAAACTTTGGCTTCAAGTCTTTGAGTCTCGTAATTCATGATCAAGCACACAGAAACTCCCTCACAAAACTTTGCTATAAAAAGTTATAAATAATTCAATATCATGCACATAGAAACTTCCATGTGAAGCTTGCTATATAAAATAAGAATTATAGTATTATATTCGTTTATATTTTTATATATTTGGAATGAATTATGAATTGAATTTTATATATATATATATATATATATATATATATATATATATATATATATATATATATATATATATATATATATATATATATATATATATATATATATATATATATATATTCGTGTTGGAACAAGAAATAGAGTGAAGATCAGAGATAATGGTGGATTTGAATTTTTAGTGTCTGCGAAGAGGGGGTTTACCTACAAGATTAACACTCTAACGCTCAAGTCACTATGTGAGAAAAAAAAGTGAATTGAAATTGAAATTGAAACTAAATACTTGAATTGACATCTTCTATATATATGCTAGAAAGATAATAAGTAACTTGTTATTTGTCAGGCGTGGATTACAGAGAGTCATTAGATGCACATGAAGTTTAGATCCCTTTTGATCATCAGTGGGATAGTTTTCGTGTGTTGAGAAGATTGTGGAAGGATTATAGCTCCTTCAGAGTGGTCGGTCAGGACTAATATTATCGGCCCAAAACAGTTGTCCCCAAACCCTTGTCTACTTGTAGCAAGGCAATGGCTGGTCGCATTAGGCTCGACTACCAACATCTCTCTAATTTATCTTTAGAAGAGTAAAAGTGGTCAATTCAGTTTTTTGGGGGTTTCACGCCTTTAATGCTTCATGCTTCAAATGTTTTTCCAAAGGTATCATCATTATGACCTTGGGAACATAACCACTCGAGTGTTGCGTGCGAGTGATTTGACACATTTGATAGAGTCTACTTTTTTTTTCATGCTAGCGTACAGTTCTTGAAGAGTCAACATTGCATTTCTTTGAGTCATTTTTCCCAGTTTGCGGTTATTTTCCTTTCTTTTTACATTTTGCTTTCCCATATCCAGAAAGTTAGCTAATTATGGATAAAAAATCACAAAAAGTACTCAAAAATCCCAGAAGAATGCTTACTCTTCGTGGGTGGATTCTATTTACTCTTTAACCATTACTCTTCGGATCGGGGTGTCTTAAACTCGAACGAGAATGAAGAGATATGTAGGGATTATGGCGAATGCGTTGTTCCTTTTCATGAATGAACTTTCATAATTCTGGGTCTTCGTCTTCCCTTTACTGCTTTTGAGATAAGAGCTCTTAAGCATCCAGTAATGACTCATATGGGAATATATGATTGATTTCTATGGTGTTGACTATCCAAGTCTTTAGGGTTTTTCTTGAGTTGCAACCTTTCGAAGGTTGGTTCTTTCTGATTACTCATATTTTTCCAGAGGCTCACGCGACGGTTTGCGCTATTGGGAACAAAATGGAGGGTAAATGTGTTAAATTGTTTCCCAAATATTGGACTGTAAGTCATTTCCTTGTGGGAAACAGGGCGTACGTATTCAAAGAGGAAGACCTTTCTATAGAAGGTTTATACTAGAAGAATTGACTGATGAACTTTATTAACGACCTAAGTTACCTAGGGGGTGGCATTCCTCAAGATGAGGTCGGCCAAAAACATTTGAAGCACCTCATTGACACCCAATTGTTGATGGAGGCTCGTTCTTGGGAAAAAAGGAAGGTTATTTTTTGTAAGTTCATGAAGCTTTTCTCTTTATTGCTTTCAATTTTCCTAATCATGACGTATTTGCTTTGACAATAATTGTGTGCAGATTTGGTGAAAGATGAAGTAAAGATCAAACTTTTGAGGGGGGAATATGGTCGGTAGGGACTGAAGAACACTCCTACATTACTTTGGATCCTTCCAGAAGCATTATTGCTTTGAATGCTCTTCAGAGGACACATAGTGCTTTGTGGTTGGACCCACGCTCCTTTGGAGAATGTCGGGTTTCTCCTCCAGAGGAGGATTGCTCGTATCTTGCCAATCTGTTCGGGCATCTTCTAGAGGAAGAATTAGAAATTCTAACTCAGTACACACAATGTGCCTTTTCTGCTTTGGCCTTTGGTAGAACCAGTCATTGAGACGTTCTTTAATTTGACCAACAACGTGAGTAAAAACATCGATTGGAGGAGAGTGTTCCCAATCTAACGCTTCAATAGGAAGCTTCTACCTTTCTCATTGAGATAAGGGACACTTTGCGCCCCTTAATCTCCCTGATTCTCTTACCGACCAGGTATCTGGTAAGGACTGTGACAAAGAGGAACCAGACTTTAGTTTTTGCTCAAAAAAGTTTATCATTTGCTCAAACATCTCTTTCAATAGCTTATAGAAGGTTAAATTCTTTGCTCCTTGAGAACGCTTATCTGACTCAGCGTCTGAAAGACTGTAAGGCCACTAACTTTGGAGAAATTTCGCAGTCTTTTGAAAATGCCTTGCAATAAGGAGATGAATAGATTTAAAATTGAATATCAAAATAGCATTAACATAAGGTGGATTTTTATCTACCCACCTCAAAAAATTGGATAAAATTACCCATAGAATAAATTGTATTAGAAATTTACAAAATTTTAACTATTAAATAAATAATTAAATAAAATAAAATAATATGACATTAATTGATTGATTAAAGTTATATTACTCAATTTTTTGTGATAGATAGAAAAGTTTTTTCGAAATGCACGGTTTGTATAGTTTTGTTAATTGCCACTCGAGGAATGACAATGATTCCTTTCACACTTGCACTTAACTAAATTTTATTAATTACAAAAAACTCGTTTGACTGATTCTTCACGTAGAAAAATTAATAGTAGCTATAAAGATGCAACTATCATTTCATTCAAATTCATTAATACACCAAAACCATATATAGTTCTCATCTTTTCTACATACTCACAAAACCATGTCTAAACCCTCTCAAACCTTGTTTGCATTATCCATCATTTTCATAATAACATCATGTTATGCTGATAGCTCTAACACAACACCATCATCATCACTATGTCCTATTTCTCGTTGTGGCAATATTTCCATTCACTACCCTTTTTGGATTAAGTCCCTAACAATCAACTCTAAAGATCGATTTTGTGGTTATCCTGATTTTGGTCTTGAATGCTCCAAAAACAACAAAACCATAATCAATCTTCCAAGTGACATGTATTATGTTACCGATATAAACTATGATAAAAGATCAATCACCCTTGTTGACATAGATATATTGGATCAAAAATGTCCAAGGGTAAGAAAAAACGTTACACTTTCTAACCTTCCTTTGTCTTTTAGCAAACTAGATTTGAATCTTAGTTTCTACTTCAATTGTAGCTCTTACCCTTCAATTTTAGAGCCTATTGAATGCTTTAGAGTTAGTAACAATGAAAAGTTGAAGTCTTATGTTATTGAGGATGGTGATGAAGGTGGAATTGGTTATGATAATTGGAAGTGCGAGGATCATGTTGTGGTGAGTGTTAAGGTTGATGTGGTAAGTGATTTTGTTGGTGGTGGTTTGATTAATGGGTTTGGTTCAGCTGTGAAGAAAGGGTTTGTGCTTGATTGGAGAAAAGGGTTTGAGGATTGTGCTAAGTGTGAGAACACTGGTGGATATTGTAGATATGGTCAAGAGAGTAAGAACTTTACATGCATATGTGGAAATGGTAGTGTTGTTGCTAAGAGTTGCAAAAAAGGTACATGTCTTTGCTTTTAACTTGTTTTAGTTGTTCAATTAAATTTGTTTTGGCTTAATCTTTTGATCATTATATGTTGGCAAGATTAGATCACATGTATATATTGCTACATTTTGTTTTTACGGGTGTATATATTATGCTACATATTGTTATATTCTCTTGGTTTTTGGTTTCAGCTTATAATTTAATTGTAGTTCTAGTGTCAAAATTTTATAATATAACATTGCCTAGTTTATAAGAAACAGGCTAACCTGTGAGCACAACTTTAAATTAGTTTATTATTACGCCGTCATAAAAAATTGTTGAATAATAAAATATATTTAAATATTTTTTATTCATAGTCTTTTTAGACTTAGTTACGCTTGTGATACACGTCATTGTACTATCAATTTTAGAGATGTATACAGGTTGGATAGTTTGTCATAATCCATTATTTAATCTGTTTAAGTTTTAATGAGTTGAGTTCGCCATCCAATTCACAATTTTATTGTTAAAATCGATTCAATCCGATCCATTTATTTATAGGTTGGGTTAGGTTGCTTCTGCGGATTGTATTTCAAATAAAAAAATATTTTTTTATGATTCTTTTTATCGATTTAAAAAAAATATAACATAACTCAATACAATCATACTCATTTATAACATTTATATTTGATAAAACACATCATATAATATCTAATAAAATTCATCAACACAATATAACATTCAAAAATAATATAAAATTCAACAAAACATATTATTTTCATAAAATACATAAGTAAAAAATGATTAAAAAAAAGAAAAAGAAACATTTAATTTTAGAATTATGTAAACTCATTAATTTAGTATCATTATTAGTGATAAATTTTCTTTTTTTAGAAAATTATGATTATGAATAAGATATTAATTTTATATTTTTATTTAAAATAATAATAATAATAAAATTATTAAAGTCACATCAATAAGTTGGGACAATGAATACGCTGATTACAAAACTCAAATCCGATACCTAAAGCAAACCTATGTTGTTGTAGGTTGGATTAAATATATGCGTAATTGAATGAGTTCAGGTAATTTAAAAGTTTCGTATATCAATCCACACTATTGAACACTCCTACTCAATTTCAACTTTAATTCAGAAGTATATATATATATATATATATATATATATATATATATATATATATATATATATATATATATATATATATATATATATATATATATATATATATATATATATATATATATATATTACAATTTTTATAAAGATACTGTATATTTACATCAAAATACAAAAAATTAGATATGTATTTTTACCACATATTTATATTAAATATGAGGAAAACTTAACTACAGTCAGTTTAGCCACAAGTCCAGTATGATTTTTTTTTAAATAAACTATTTTGTATGTTTAAAATCATTTTTGTTTTTTTAATAATTATTTTTACATATTTAACTAAAAAGTAGGAAACATTACACATACTTTTTCAAACTATGTATTTTATCGCATATCTATCTAAGTGTGCAGAAAATTTTGAAAATAAATTGTGAATAAGAAAATCAATATTTAACTAAAAGTGTACGATATTTAGTTCAATCAAAATATGGGGTAGGGCGTATAAGAAGGGAGTGCAGATAGAATACTCCCATCTAAAACATGAATGACAAGATTGAACTAGCGTGTGAAACGAGTAGCCCAAAGTTGTAATGGACCAAAAAGAAAAACTTACTAACGTCTTTCTCTCACCCTCGAATTTTACTTGATACCCCTACATCCCTATGTTTTTATCATTATTTTTTTTTTGTGATTTTATAAAAATTGTGTTTTCTGGGTTTTTTATTTTTTCTTGAGTTTTTATCAAATTTTTAAAGAATTTCATAAGATTTTACCAAATTTTTGGTGGGTCTATGAATTTTTATCGTATTTTTAAAAAATGACTGGATTTAAACTATCAAACTTTTCAAATACACTATCAAATCTTTCATCCTATCAAATTTTTACCGAATTTTTCACAAAAGTATGATTTTTTATTAGATTTTTCAAAAATTCTATTAATTTTTACCGAACTTTTCAAAAAATATATTAGATTTTATCGAATTTTTCAAACAAGTATGAGTTTTTATCAGATTTTTCAAAACATTTATGAGATTTTACCAGATTTTTAAAAAAATATGAGTTTTTAAGAGTTTTTTTTTAAAATATATGAGTTTTTACCATATTTTTAAAAAGGCACTGCTGGATTTTTAAAAAAGCGGTGTGTTTTTAACGAATTTTTTAAAATACACTATCATATTTTTCAAAATAAAGAGTTTTTATCGGATTTTTTGAAAAAACTGATATTATTAATTTCGAGCTTTTTTGTCCTTTCAAAATGAACTACTAGATTTTTCAAAAAAACATGAAAAATTACAAAACCTACCATATTTTTCGAGTTACACTATTGAATTTTTCGTTCGCTCTTTTTGGTTAAATTTTGACAAGGGTATTTTTGTCATTATGAAAATATGTGGGGGTGTCAGATTAAACTTAGGGGGTGGCAGGAAGAAACCTCCCTAATTAAGAATTTATGCTAAGGGGATTAATTATCTCGCCTTAAGTGGTGAAGAAGCACTCTATGAAAATTTGAAAATATCCCTTCAATCCTAGAAATACATCTCCGAAAGCACCCATTTACACCAAATCATCGTGTAACTGAGCAACACCCTCATTTTTCTTTTGCTATCATTCAGTCTGGGTATGTATTTCTAGAATAACCTCATATGCACATTCATTCGTAACTGAGTCTCACACTCATTTTGCCTAAATATGCATCTCTATAATAAATACGAATATATACTTTCGTAATCACCCTTTACTGGAAAATTTTGGCTTTTTAAAAATAAAATTACAATGATGTAATAGACCATGCAATATAATTATACTACCGTAATTTATTTATAAATTAACTATACATTGATCCATAATACAATAAAAATAACAAATTAACTAATGATAATACAATCCATAATCCCTAATACATATAACATACTACTGCATATGTCAGACCCCCATATTCCTTTGTTGTCTCTTGTACTGTAATGTCGTATGTGTCTCAGTTAGAATGACATCTACAATGTCCCTCCCAGAAGTGTCTTTTGGAAAGTCTCCTCAATCTATATTCGGCTGCACAAGAACCATAATACGACGACATTCATGTAACACGTCAACGGACATTATATGCCAACATTTTCCTCCTTTAATATCTTTTGATGAGCTGACCTAGATGTCTCACCTCAGCATCCGATGTCAGGTAAGGATTTGACACTACCAAATACCACTAGACGTAGCTGAATACATAACTCCATTCATTAGGAGATATGACACCTCATGCTTTATTCGGTACTAGAAGATTAAGAAAATCATCACACATGGCATCTACATCTTTGCGGATCATAGTATGAGGAGCAAATACATATGGGTCTCTTGAAACAACCTGCATATACCAGAATTGACACATGGCTCGCTCAGGTATATGTGGATACATCATATGTGACCCATAAGCCAACCATTTATAGTAGAATGTTATGTCTCCTAAGGGGCGCATCTGACAGTGAAAGTCGTACGACCAGAAGCGTATATCATTTACTGATGTGTGGTCAAGATACACTCTAAAGAGCACAATCGGCTGATTCTTTATGAAAGGTACATATGCATAAATACGTGATATATTGTCAGTGTTGTCATCAACATCTGACCATCCAGAGATGTGTGGGATGTGTTGGAGGATTAATGCCTGAAAATGGTACAAATGAATTATTAGTAATGGTGTAGCACAAATGTTATAAAAATGGTACATGAATAGTAAAGGATACAAATATATTACCACAAACAGCGTGCAACTACCCGTCATTTGTTTGATCTTCCAAATACAACCTTCAGCTAACTCGGATTATAGGTAAACCAACAAGCGCCCCCAGTTGTACTCATAAATCCACTCCAAATCAGTGAAGTATCTGAGGTAAACCACATCTACGTAATAAGTACTTTTGTCCAAAAATATAGACGTGTCAACTAAGTACATGAGGTATGTCCTCAATGCACATGCTTTATGATACATAACATGTTCATCATCACCCTTAGATTGCATTATCGTAGCTAGGTGGTGTGCATACTAGCTCCCTAGGAATTTAAATCTAGCATGAGTCCCTCTGGTGTATTCAATCTCTTTTAGGGTATCCTCTGGATTAACTCCCAAATAAACCTCCATCATCTCATGTGCATCATGTTTGGTCATCCTGGAGTGGTCTAATAACCTCCCCCTCACATAAGATGTAATAGGAAAAGCTCATCATTCAGTGTGATAGACATCTCACCATACGAAATATGAAAATATGACATCTAATATAGTCATATCTCAACAAACTCTGACAGCATACCATGGTTAATAATAGTATAAACGACTATGCATAAATCTCGCAATCCATATAGTTGCACGATAGAGAATGAAACTACTGCTCCTCGGGCTTGTGCAATCTCGCAATCTCTCGATCATGATTGATGCATTTTAAAGCATCACGATACTGCATAAAAATAAATAACCATTAGAATGTTTGAATATTATAGCACATGTGTTTCAAAGAAAAAATACATATAAAATTTACCTCTCCATCCTACACACGCTTGGCAGCATGGCCCGCATATAAAATCAGCAATGATATGACATACAGGCCTCCTCCAAACTCCTCAAGACCGACATCAATAAGTGCATCAAACTGGACATGTGGGGCTTCCAAGGCCGTAACAGGTGAGGTTTGTCTCCTCTAGTAAGACGAAGTCCGAGATGCATGAAACTCAAAAGTTTATGCCTTCGCATCTAATGAACTATCATTGACAGGTGGTCGCGAGGGTCGGGCTTTTTCCCCATGAACCAATGCATACTGCGAGACTCTATGAGCCTCAACCGATCTTGGTTATCAGCCATATTACCTATGTTTAAACCAGACAAATAATACAAAGCATAAAAAATCAAACCTAGATTGATGACATTGAAAATCAAAC